CTTCCATCCCGCCTCCCAAACAAGCCCCTCTTCCCGATTCCCTCGGTAGCAAACGAGAGTTGCTTCCGTGGCTTTGTTCTCCACAGCCCTTTCACTTTTTAAGAGTTTCCTAGCTTTTGAACCAGTAACCCAGATCCAAAGTAACGACGTTTCCAAGTAGTGAAAGAACGTATGTCTTAAAGATGGGACAAGTGCAAGGGGAGGGGGTGGAAATTAAGGCAACTTTACAAGTTAGGGGAGTTGAAGAATGCCAGAGCTATAAGAAGATGCAACTCCTTCCCCTGTCCAGCTTTTGTAAAGTTATAGCATTGGAATCCGTCGCAGTGTTTCCAATTCAAGTGAGTGGATATCAGTCTGCAACCTTAGTTTTGGATATCATTCCCCCCCCTCCCAAATGAGATTGATCAACGGTGGAAAAAAATAGCTACACCCCCCTCTCATTTATTTTAAAATCCACATTTACAAATATGGTGCGGATTGCAATGCAAACTGATCCCAGAGTGAAATACACTTGGCACATTACTATCCAGGTGCATTAAAATGTGAGCATACAATAAAGGTGACCCATTTCTTTTCCAAGCAAACTTAGTTGCTTGTATGTAACAGTTAATGCAAACTTAGTAACCTGCAGTGATGGTGATCGGTGGGATGAAAGATGGAGCCATTTTAGGATACCGCTGGCTCAGTGGCCAAAGATGGCTATAGCGAGCACATGCCATTCAAAGTGATGGACATCAGCTTCAAAGGAAGCACAAAGGGCAAACTGAATGAAAGATGTTTCCCTGTTTAAGAGAGTGTACCAGAAGTGGCTTATTCCAAAGGCAATGTGAAAAATAAAGGCTTGGTTCTTAAAGTCTTTTTTAAAAAATCTCTTCATTTTTTAATAATACCTCCAGTTGTCTTTGTCTATCAAAAATCTAGAAATCATAAAAATTAAGATTGGGGGAGCGACTGTGTGATTGAAGCCCTGCCCCCTTTTGCTCAACACCTCCTGCTTTGCCAGCTGGGTACTTCCCAGCTTTAAAGAGTTTCCTTTAAATAGGAAGGTGAATGAGATACCACATTCAGCCTACAATTTACACCCCATGCTCAGCTATCATGTAGTTTATTCAATTCTGGCATAGCATGAGTTGTCAATTCAAAGAAATAAACCAAGTTTTAACCATCAGGGTTTAGCATAAGGGATGCATTCAGTGTAATTATAATCAACCTGGTCCAGCAGCTTAGAAGAGCACTGGATTGTAATCGGTGGACATTTCTAAATGAAAGTATCTGATCCTCTGAAACAAACTTTCTCTGAAACAGAAGAACAAGCATCAATGACCACAGTTGGTTTGGCTTTTGAATATGTACAGTATGTGCACGCATCAAGGCGAAATCCCTTTGTAACTTCAGATTTGTTTCAGAAAGTCCCCCATTGCTCTAGATCAAGTCTGAGAATAGTTGGGTACTCAAAGGAGGAAGAGAAACTAGAATCCCACTGCATGAATAGACTTTTGTTCATAATGCACTGGGTATAGATACTCCCTAATGCCACGTAATGGAGTGAACTCCTGTTACTTGTCCCAGCTTCTGCCAACCTAGCAGTTTGAAAGCATATAAAAATGCAAGTAGAAAAATAGGAACCACTTTTGGTGGGAAGGTTAACAGCGTTCCGTGTGCCTTCGGCGCTTAGTTATGCTGACCACATGACCACGGAGACGTCTTGAGACAGCACTGGCTCTTCAGCCTTGAAACAGAGATCAGCACCGCCCCCTAGAGTTGGGAACAATTAGCAAATATGTGCAAGACGAATCTTTACCTTTACCTTTACAGGTACTTGGAAAAGTGTTGGCATGCTCCAAAAGCCAACAAGGAGGATACACTTTTTAGTGCTATTTTTGTCCATAAAACAAAAATTCAATGCAAAACAATATCTTTACATACCTGGCTGTTTTGTTTTTTTTTAAAATGTAGATTCCAATAAACACACATCTAGTAAAATGTGAGAAGAATGCTTGGAATATTCTTGCAGTCACTGCGACAAGGATCATTTTATTTGTTGAGTAAAGAATTCTATCTTACCCATTAATCAGTACTTCAAATGTCTTTTCCGCTCAATTGTATACCATATCTAGTATAAGGAAGTTTTGCAGGAAACTCAAAAGTTTTTGCTCACTGTTTCATTAACTCTTTATTGATCTGACCGAAACATTGACGCAGTATTGGTCTGGAAATAAAAAAAATAATGCATGAGCCTTGTTGCATTTAGTGGCTTAGTTCATT